TATTCCCGGATCTTGCGAACGACACTGGACTTTTATTTTTGTAGTCATCATTTGTCACTGTGCTGTATTTCTTGTTAAACTATTTGATTTTAAGACGAGTGTTGGCAGTAAGGTAGTTAATAACGAAGTAAGTACTTTTAGCAGCTCATACTCCTACTAGAAAGTACTTATGTAAAGAGACGATAGTCAGACAAGGCGAATAAAATTAGAGAGATATAAGAGATGGCTTCAAAATACATTGCGTCCAAAAAGCAGTTGACCGCATTCAAACACGGTTCTCATTTAGTCGGAAATAAATGAATTGTTGCCAGACGGATAATAGGTACTTAGTAGTAGTAGCAAACGCAATTTTTTTGTTCAAATTTACTTTCGTTTGGACATTAATTCATGGTAAGGATATATATTGCAACCTACGAATCATATTATTCATTCAATAAGTCATAAATCATACGTCTCAAAACCTGTAGGTTATCGCATAGCTGTTGGGATTTCACGGCGCTACGTGGAATAGTATACGACTTAGTTTAGTAATAAAAGAAGTAAGTCGGCCTGAAAGTCAAAAGTCTTCGAACATCGAATTGCTCATTTGACCAATTGTTGGTCTATTTGACATGGTCGCCAGTTATTTAGACAGCCTGGCCCTAAGACAATTCGTATGATTTTTTGACGTAACCACCAAAAACCGTGAAAAGAGCTAAAAAGCTTATAGTGGAGTATAATATTTCATTGCAGCTTGGCAACACCGCCTCGGTAGCCATGGACAGTCCGTACATAGATTCTTGTCTTTATTTGTAAGCCAGTGATAGTCGAAGAGCCGACCGCAAAGTTTTGGTTACATCGCGTTTTGATATGGGAGGTTAAAAACAAATCAAGTCATGTATTTTGATGATAAACAGCAAACTCGGAAGTCTCAAGTATTCTGATGCTTAACAGCAAACTAGGAAGTTTGATGTTTAGCATCAAAATACGTAACATGTGATTAGTTTTCGTCGGATCATATCAGTATGCAATGATGTAACAAAAGATTTATGATCAGCTTCCCTGCTAATGCAGGTGACTCCCGTGGTCAATGAGGGCGACCGGCAGATTACACTGATCAACAGCCAAAAAATATCCTAAATAAAATCAACAAAATATTACTATTTTTAATGTGCTAAAACCGGAATGAAACTTATTTTTTCAATATTAGTTCAAGTTTTAGAGATACGATAATTATATGTGTTCCTGCTGTGACAGTGTTAATATACTGTAATTCACAAGAATGCACGTGCTACATTTTTATATTCGGCAAGGAAAGATGATGTAATCGGCATGATTGTGTTACGTTATACATACGTGTACATTATATTGTTTTATATTAGCCATTTTTTCCTCAGTTGGCTGACAGCGTTCATTCAAGATGTCTCGAAAGTGTGTAAACAATCCAGATCAGTTTTGTTACGCGTGTGGTGATGTGACTTTTTCGTCTCAGAGACGGTCTATTACTCCACTAATAACAAAGGCATACCGGCTTTACTTCGGTTGTAAACTAGGTGATCAAGACAAACAGTGGGCACCCCACATCTGCTGTAATACATGTGCTTCAAGTCTGAGGAGCTGGTTAAATGGCAAAAAACGGTCTATGCGCTTGCTGTCTCATGGTTGGAGAGAGCCTACAAATCATATTAATGATTGTTACTTTTGCATGGTACCTTGTGTTGGAGAAGCCACAGGAATGTCCAAGAAAAAAAAATCGGTTATTAACTACCCAAACATACCATCTGCGATGAGACCTGTGCCTCACAGTGACGAAAATCCTATTCCAAAACCCCCATAATCCTACACTTGCGAATCAGAAAACGAATCAGATCATGGTGATCGAGTGATTCGTCAGGAAGAAGATATGCCATCAACGTCAAGAGATCCTGATTTTATACCGAGCACGTCATGCCACCAACCGCACAAAATAACACAGTCAGAATTAAATGATCTTGTAAGAGATTTAGAACTTCCAAAATGTAAGGAAGAGTTACTTGGATCAAGACTGCAGCAGTGGAACTTGTTAGAAGACGATGTTTCGGTATGTGTTTTTCGTAAACGCCACAAAGACTAGAACCATTTTTCAATATAGAGAATAACTTGGTTTTCTGCACTAACATTAACGGCTTACTGGCGGCTTTAAATATAAACTATAACCCAGAAGAATGGAGATTGTTTATAGACAGTTCAATATTGAGTTTAAAGGCAGTGTTATTGCATATTGGAAATATTTTACCATCTCTTCCTGTAGGGTATGCAGTTCACATGAAAGAATCATATGACAATATGAAGTACCTATTGACATACATAAAATACGATGAGCACCAATGGCATATTTGTGGCGATTTGAAAGTTGTTGCACTTTTACTTGGGCTGCAGCTAGGCTACACAAAGTTTTACTGTTTTTTGTGTGAATGGGACAGTCGGGCAAAGGCACTTCATTACACCAGACAAAACTGGCCTGTTCGTCAATTCCTAGAGCCAGGTCAAAAAAATGTACAGCATATGCCATTAGTAGATTTGAAAAAAAATTTATTACCACCACTGCATATCAAGTTGGGCCTAATGAAAAACTTTGTCAAGGCATTAGATAGAGATGGGTCAGCTTTTCAATACCTGCGTCAGAAATTTCCAAGACTAAGTGAGGCAGAGGTTAAAGAAGGTATTTTTGTTGGGCCACAGATTCGAAATATTTTGAAAGATACACAGTTTGAAAACACTTTAACAGGTATTGAAAAAACTGCTTGGAATGATTTCCGTCTGGTGGTCACTAATTTCTTGGGAAATAGAAAAGCTGACAACTATAAAACCCTTGTCAAAAATATGCTGTCATCGTATCAAAAGATGGGCTGTAATATGTCTCTTAAGATACATTTCCTACACTCACACCTGGACTTTTTTCCTGACAATTGCGGAGCCGTAAGTGATGAGCACGGCGAATGTTTTCATCAGGATATTTCAACAATGGAAAAAAGGTACCAGGGAAAGTGGAATCCTTCCATGCTTGCAGACTACTGTTGGACTCTTGGTAGAGATGCTCCAGAAACGATCCATAAAAGAACAGCAAACAGACAGCGCATATAATGATTCTTATAAGTATATGAATCTTGTTACTTTTTTTAATATATCCTTAAAAATAAAAAGTTTTTTTTCTAAACCGCAACTAATTTTTTTATTTCATTGTCATTTTTGGATTCAGCGCCCCAAAATTAACAAAGAAGTCGCTTCCCACAAGATACAATTAAAAAACTAAAATTTGTTGTCCAGTGTTATAGAGGCATTCGACGAGGTGTCTTTTCCTGATATAACTACTCGTTGCTCGACATTCGAGAACCCCCACCCCTGAGGGGGACTGGGGCCTGATTCTAAATGAGTTTTGACCGTTGAAATTGATTTCAATGGCGCCTTGTGACGGTGTACTAAGTTAGCTATGATTATTTTTTCACTGCCATGATAATTTAATTTGAATATAGAAGATGGATAAAATCATATGCCAAAACTATCATAGCGCCATCGAACTTAATTTCAACGAAAAACTTATCAGAATCAGGCCCCTAATCATTGAATCTGGTGATAAACTAGCTGATAGCGACAACTTATGCCTATCATAAGTACTATTTGCGATTGCGTCATTTCAACTGACGTGTGATAGCCTACTCTGAAAAAAAATAGAACCAAAACTTACGTCTATTTTCAAAAGTATTAAGTTACCACACTGACTCATTTTTTATTTAAAAGCAGAGCATTAAGTTAAATACTTTTCAACCACAGGTGAAAAGTGTAACTCGGTCCCATGTGAAACAAATCAACGACGTCTAAAAAAGTATCCAATTTCTGGCAACATTCCCTGAGAGCATGTCCGCTGTAAATACGAGAATCAACACGCGCACACTTATTCCCTAAATAAACACTAATTCCAGGTGTTCCCGATTAAAAATCCATAAGCACGGGCTCCTGCACTTTGAGGCGACCGCTTTCAAGTCATATAAAATTTCTATTGTAGACTACGCGGCTTTTGGAACTGTCAGAAAACGGAAACATTGCATGAAACTGGTTATTGGAAGATGTCTCAAACGTACTAATTGCTTTTAGAGTATATTTAGCGTTCTTGTAAGGAATGCATCGATAATATGGAACGCAGCGTGAGTGTCAGAATACTGATGCTGTGTGCGTCTCATAAATCAGGATTGTCAAGCCTTGTTAAATTGTTTCCAATCAAGCAGATGAATAAAGTAGCATCTAATAGATTTTTCAAGAATTTTCTAGCTGAACAATATTCATATATGGGGGTTTGCTTTTTTGCATTAATCGATTATGATTTCGTCGATGCCCTTTGATTCTCTTTGATTCAAAATAGCAAATTAACAGAGTGGTAGAACAGAGAATATGTACATTTCAGGTTGAAGGTAGGTTTTTTATGTAATTTGATATCAACCAAGAAATAAATGGCTGTTGACAGTGGCAGTGTTACCTCTCTGCACACTACAATATTGAATTTTTCAGTAGAGCGGATTTTGCTTGTTTACTATTGTCAATAGCATGTTTGGCTGAAGCGATGGATTATTTTCTTATGTCACATTCATGCTTATACATTTTTTTAGCTTTATATATTGCTTAGTCTTTCATATATATGAATTTGGACAGTCTTTATAAATCAACTTGCATTGCAGATCTTGTTCGATTGAAAAATTGTGACATTTCATCTTTATTGACAGGTAACAAAATGTCACTTTTTATGAAATTACTTTTTTCCCTGGGAAAAAACTGAGTACTTTTTTCCCTGATATTGTAAAAACATATAAGCAACGGCAGATATTTAATTTTAGAATATTTTATTATACAATAAAGTTACATTTCCTTTATATCAAAAGTACAATTACTAAATGTGCATTGCATGAATGGCACGTTCCTTAAACTATTCGGTACAACAGTCGAATTTTCTTGTGTTGAAATTATTTGTTTTTCTGCCATCACAACTCCCATTGATGTACATACTTGATCACAAATCGGGTGTTATTTCAGCTCTACCACACGTTCTAAACAAGTTATTAGCTATTTCTGCCCTGTGTGCTACCGATTCATCAACATGCCCTTCAACGACCGTTGATGACTTCCATCCGCCATGCTTCTTTAGTGTCATCGAGTCTCCCCCAGATTCAACTAAAAGTGTAGCAGACGATCTTCGAAATGAATGTCCTGTATATGAGTCAGCATTTTCAAGTTGAAGAAAATTAGAGACTGTTTCGGGAACCTTATAAAACTGGTTTTTACCCACAACCTGATTGATCCATTTTCCATTGTCATGTTGGATCTAGCAGCTGCTTCTTTGGCTCTAGCAGCTGCTTCTTTGAGGGGCAAGCTGATGTAGCCCTTTATCCTCTTAAAGCTTTTTTTGTTTTTAAACTTTGTATATACTGTTTGATGAAGGTAATAAATATTATTATTATATGCATAAAACAGGCGACGATCCTCTGCTGCTGCTGCTGCTGGACGAAGAGCTATGTAACGTACATGCGATAAAATTCAATGTATTTTTCAGTAACTACAAATCTTCTATTTATATCATTCTTTGTTTCCTCAAGTTTCACAATTAATAACGTTTCCGAATACTCAATATCATCTAATGTTACCTGGCTGATATCACAAATTCGACAAGCTCCTGCAATCCTAAATGCAACAACAACCTCGGCCATTAAATAAACTTCATCGGGAGCGTTATTTAAAAAATCACTAATTTGTGTACTCGTGAAAATCGCAGCTTTCTTGGGCTTGTAACCTTTCCCATTTTGTTTCAAAAATGTAATTACTTTGAAATATTTTGAAATGTCTACATTATTACACATACTTTTAATCATTGAATAATTCGACCACACTGTTGATGGCTTTTGCTATTGTGCCAATTACGAAAAATAAGCCAATAACACCGTCTCCGACAAAGAACTGCATGTTTTTTTCATCTTTCACTCCATGAATCTTGAATACGCGGTTTCGTAAATTTTACGCGATTTAGCTGGCAGTAATTTTTGTGACGCTACTTTGGCTACCTCTACTAATTCCAAAGAAAACTCGGAATCAGACATTTTTTACTTCATATTATTAAAATAACTTCTAAACAACCACTAAGTTCACAATTTTTAAATCAAATCACAAAACCAAATTGACAGCTATTTGATTACTTTAAAAGTTTCTTTAGCAACGCAGGTCTAATTGCAACATAGCCTACTAATATCAAAATTCAAATTTCACATCGATAATTTTCTGACTTAAATACTGTAATAATATAATTTTACAATATTAAATCGTCGTTTTTCCCGTCACAGAAAAAAAATTTGTATAATACACGGGAAAAATACTAGAGTTTAGCTAAAATCTAGTACTTTTTTCCCTTGTATAATAAACAACTACTTAGTTGTTTCAACATGAACTTTACGTCCGAAAATAATTTATTTATATATTCAGATAGACCTGTGACATAAGGCAATGGTCATTTCTTTATCAGTTCGTCAGTGCGTTGTTTATTTCAAATTTGGTGTACACTCTTCTTAATGCTGGCATCAACAAAAGTTCAGGGGTAGTTATTCTGAGAAAAAATCTCACTCACTTTCTTTAGGTTAGCAAGTTTGTTATTAGGGTGTGACAACAACTCTACCCGATCTGTCAAACTATTAATGACACTCCGCGATTAAATGAGGTACCGTGGCGACATCTATGAGTATTTGTAAGAGCTGTTTCTCTATTTGTTATATAAATTTTGAAAAAGTGAATATCTCATAGATGGCGGTATAGTCACATTCTATAGCTCATATAGTTTTTTGATTACAGCGCCATCTATGTGACAGTAAGATTTTCAAATTATATACAGTAAATAGAGAAACAGCTGTAACAAATTCTCATAGATGACGCTACGGTGTCTCATTCTATCTCGCATAATACGATCATCACCCTCGTCTGCCTAACGCCTATTGTCTGTTGTCGGCCCGGTAATTCTTGGCGTCTCTATAATTTGGAAGTATAGTTCAGATTTTGGTAAAAATTTGACACAATGTTACTATCATATCGATGACGAAGACGCTTTTTAGATATCGAAAATCAATTCAGTACCCGCAGAGTTATGTTCAAAAATGAAAAATTTCATCAGCATACAATTTTTTAGAATCTGATTATTTTTGGCTCCAGTAAAAAAATAACTATTTTATTTTTATAGTTACCTATATAGGTACCCCTTATTTTCCTTATCATTAATAACACTCAGAGTATGTTTAACGTTCAATGTGATATACCATACTCCATTTTTTTATATTTGCATTTTATCTGAGAATAAGAACTTCTGGTTGAGTTTCACCCGTAAATGAGAAAACTTTCTCTATGCAAATTTCGAGTCGAGTAGTAACGCGTATGCTGGCAATTGCCTACCTTTTTCCAAGTAAAACTCAACTTGCTCCCAGACTAACTTCATTGCAGCCCCAGGAGGATAAAACGAAGTTAAATTACTTCAATTAATTGTTACAATACGTCACGGAGGGAGTAGCGTTCAATTTTGAAGTTGCTGTTCGAATTCAATCGTTATTTAGTCTGCATGGGTGAACGTGGATAATGAATGGCGGCGACAAAGTGCCTTTATTACAGGTAGCTTGCAGCTGTAGTCGTAGCTGAAGCTGGGTAGGGAGGGATTATCCTCTAAGCATTAAGTATCATATGTAGGCTATGTTATACAGTGAGGACTCAGAACTTGGACTTGGTTGTTTCATTCTCGCTTCTCACTGTTGGGATCTAAGAAACGGTCAAGCAAATGGCAAAGTTGTGCTGAAGAACTTTATAATAAATTGCTCATTAGCATTGCCATTTATCCTCCGACAAGAAGCCGTAATTAGGATTTCAGTATGATGTATCGTCTTTTGTTCTGCACCATCAGCTATATTTTTTCTTATTGATACAACAAGTTGTGCAATTAGGTAACGAAGAACTTCAGAATATACTGATCATTAACATTACCATTTTTCCTCCTTTACAAGCGGTTAAAACTAGGACTTCAGTATGACGTTTCGTATTTTGTTTTGCAACATCTATTTTTTCTTATTGAGGCCAGATTGGATTCGATGCTTTCCGCACTAGCACGTCCAACTCTATTTACTGTGATGCGGTTATTCCGCCACAGATAACGTTAAATTATGCTACCAATGTTCAGGTCCAACAATCTCATCCAAATTACGAACTCCTGTCTAATGAACGTCACAACGACATACATATTGAAAGACCAACTATAACTAAGCCGGTCGGTGCCAGGGCACTACAGATATTAGATGACCTCGTTATTGACCCCCAGAGGTATACAGCATAGGTCCTGGTGAAACTCCTCCATAGGTTCAGACCAAGTTAAACATTGTCCTAGACTGCTCTGCCTTCAAAAAAACATTAACGCCTGGAAACGTGTATCATCGTATAGTAGAGGAGATACTGAACCGATACAGTCCTTCAAAGGTCATTTATACAGGGTGTTTCAGTTTATTGTTGCATAACTTTCAGATTCGATAGAACTTTTAAAATTAATGCACAAAGTCTATATCAACATGGGTGGAAAAATGCGTGGCTTCGGAAATACAGGGTGTTTAAATTTACTTTCTAAAATAGTTTTTTTAAATATTTAAATTTAAATGTATCAAATATATGTATATAACAGTGATAATTTCGATTTTTAAGGTTCGATGCATTTTTAATTATTTATGATAAAATAACGTTAAAAGGTCAGTATCTTGATAATTTTTAGAAGTAGGCCTGCAAATATTTTTGAAATTGAAAGCAGAATAAGGTTAAACGTCAATAATTAGCTGAAAGTTAGTTTTGTTGTCTGTTGAAACAAACGTTTTTTTGCAATTGTGAATGCACGAAATTTAGTTTCTTTTACCTGTTTTTTTTATAATTTTTATAAAAATGCCATTTTTATTCTCCAATCAAGAGTTAGTCGATATTCATTTTGTGTATGGCTTTGTAAATGGAAACGCAGCAGAAGCAGCCAGAGAATACGCATGAAGATTTCCAAACAGACGACATCCAACTCGCTCAGTATTTGTAAGAGTGCATCGCCAAGTAATTGAAAATGGTTTTGGAAATCTCCAAAGGGATCAAAACATAAATGTTCGTCAGCGCAGATTTACCCGTATGATTCTGCGTGAGTTTGATAGAGATCCGACCACAAGTGTTAGGAGAGTTTCTGGTGCCTTGGGAATTTCAGCAAGCCATGTTCATCGTGTTCTTAGAAATGACCATAGACGTCCTTACCATTTGCAACCTGTGCAAGGACTACAGCCAGGGGACGGAGAACGAAGAATCACATTTTGTCAGTGGATTCTTGATAGAACTGATAATAATAGGGAGTTTTTAAGAAACATTTTATGGACCGATGAGTCATGCTTCACTAGACGTGGAGTGGTAAATTTTCATAATCAACATATTTGTCGCATGGAAATCCGCATGCAGTTCGGGAAAGAAATTTTCAGCATGAATTTAGTGTGGATTGGTATCTACCGTAATCGACTATTTGGACCCTTTTGCCTGCAAGGTTAAATGCTGCGACCTTCTTGGAATTTTTAAAGGCTGAACATGCAAATATGTGGGATGATGTTATGTTAGATTTAAGAAGATTGGCCTGGTTCTAGCTTGATGGTTGTCCAGCTCATTATTCGAGAATAGTTAGAAACTGGCTGGACGAAAATTATCCAGAAAGATGGATCGGCCGTGGAGGACCAGTCGCCTGGCCTCCACGATCCCCTGACCTAAATCCATTAGATTTCTTTGTGTGGGGATTTCTAAGAGAAAAAGTGTACCAGACTCCCGTAACCACAAAATATATGCTAATAGACAGAATGAGGAATGCATGTGATGAAATAAGGCCTTATTTGAATAATGCTATACCACGTTCGATCATTCGTAGATGTGAATTGTGTATTGAACAATTGGGTTTACATTTCGAGCAACTACTTTAGATTTTGTATGTTTCTCCTAACTATCCAATAGCATTTTAGTTGTAAATAATTAATTTAGTTTGTTAAAAACAATAATGGAAAATTAAACAAATTAATATTCTGTTTTTTGTGTTTATTTGGAGTTATTAATTATTGCTGTGTTTAAAAACACAATCTAAACGATCATCTTAATTACTTGTAATGCCCAAATCGAAAATGTAAAAAAAAAATTATTTTCCCATAAATAATTAAAAATGCATCGAACCTTAAAAATTGAAATATCTCGAAAACGGCTAACTATAAAGAAAACTCACAAGAGAGCTTTTTTATGCAGAAAAGTGCGAAGAATCATTTTTTTATTGAAAAAGCAAAAAATTGCACTAGGAAAAATTTTTCGGTCATTTTAATGTACTACAGGTACAGTAGAGAGCGCCCTCTAGCGGATACAGTAAAACTATGCCCATGGTTCGTTTTATCGTACCAAAAAACCCTTGTGTACGAATGTTCA